CATCATATAAGATTATGATTTGCAATTACAACATAGATGTATTAAAGCCATTAAACAATAATTTTATGGCGTTAACTTTTTCCATTACAGCAATACTTGATAATTTACTGTCTAAACTTTTAATAAATCCAATAACAACATCCAAAATGCTATGTAACAAAATGCTTAAGCAAATTCGAAACTCTCAATGAATTCTTTGTTGCCTAAATCTTTATCAGCATTGAATCTCTCGCTTACTCTTTATAAGGATGCTCTAGGTTTAAAGAACAGAAAAATACTTTCATTGAGTTGCTCTTCTTCTAACTCTGCCTATTATTTTGAGATTTATTAATTGTTTGATATCGTTTTTTTTGGGAAATATATTGCTTGTAGTTTTTCCTACAAACAATAAAGTTTTAAAGAATGAGTTCTTTTTTAACAAAAAAAGATAAATAGGATAGCGGTGATATCAGTTTTGTTCTATGGGGCAGTGGGCAAAAATCAATATAACCCACAGAATGAGTGTAGCAAAGATGAGGATGTTGAGATAGATGAGTGCCAAGACGAGAAGGGATAGAATTCACGATCAAACTACTCGAGAGAATTTTGGAGTGGCACCAATAAACGATAAAATGTGATAGAGTAGATTTAGGTGGGTTGGCCATGTGTGGCACCGACCAAGTACAACGTATGTTAGGAGATGTGAATTAATTCAAGTGAAAAGACTGAAAATGATCAGGGGTAGGCCCAAAACGACGTGGTTGGAAGTAGTCTGAAAGATACGGGGATATATGGCCTCACTAAGGATATGACCTTTAATAGAGTTAAATGAATAACTGGTATTCACCGTAGCAGACCTCAATTAATTGGAAAAAGGTTAAAATGATGATGATAATAAAATTTTTTGTTAAATTTTACTTTAGTTATATATTTATACATTCCTTTTAAAAAAAGAAAATTTAGTAATAAATGAAATTCAAAAGCAATAAAAATTTTTATTTAAAAATATAAAAGATAGTGAATTTGGTTTTAAAATTCAATATTTTAAAATATCAATTCTATAGGGGCCCATTTGACTCATTGGATTCAGATATCCAACAGTCCCTTTTCCTAAAAAAGGCCGGCCAAACAAGTTTGGTTCACTTAGAATTGACATCTCTATTGGAATTGAGATTTATGTGGGATTCCTGAATGCTCATTTAAGCCTAAATTTCAGAAATCTCAATTCCATCCAAATTGGTGGAGTTTACATTTCATAAAAACAACTAATTTTGCTGTTGAAGAACGAAAACATATTCAAATTTTAGAGAAGGAAACTATATCGAATTTTAGAGAGAGAAAACATATTACAATTTTAGAAAAGAAAACTATACCAAATTTTAGAGGGAAAAAGCTTAAAAAAATTTAGAACATTAGTTGTTTCAGAGAGAGAAAGTACATTAGTTGTTTCAGAGAGAGAAAGTACATTAGTTTTTTCAGAGAGAGAAAATACATTAGTTTTTTTTAGAGAGAGAGAAACTATCTCAAATCTTAAGTTTTATAGAGAGAAAGTATCTTAAAATTTTAGAGAGAGACTGCATTAAATTTTAGAGAGGAACCACTTAAAAGTTTGTAGAGAGAAATATCATAAAACTTTTAAAGAAAAACTATCTCAAATTTTAAGTTTTAGAGAGAGAGTATATTAAAATTTTAGAGACTAGAAACTATATCAAATTTTAGATAGAGAAACTACCTGAAAATTTTTAGAGAGAAAGAAACTATCTTAAATTTTATGTTTTAGAGAGAGAAAATATCTTAAAATTTTAGATAGAGAAACTATATCAAATTTAGATAGAGAAAGTACCAAAGTTTTTTTCACGAGAGAAAGTATTTCAAAAGTTTTAGTTAGAGAAACTATCTCAAATTTTAAATTTTAGATAGAGAAAGTACATTAAAATTTTAGAGGAAGAAACCAATTAAAATTTTTAGAGAGATAAACTAATTCAAAATTTAAGTTTTAGATAGAGAAAGCATCTCAAAATTTTAGAGTGCAACTATATCAAATTTTAGAGTGAGAAAGTACCTAAATTTTTTTACAGAGAAAAACTAAATTTTAACAAATAAATGATCTCAAATCTTAAATAAATGATCTCAAATTTTAGATAGACAAAGTACCTTAAAATTTTAGAGAGAAAAAGTGCATGGTATTTTAGAGAGAGAAAGTATATCATATTTTAGAGAGAGAAACTATCTGAAATCTTTTAGAGAGAGAAACTATCTCAAATTTTTTTATAAAGAGAAACTATCTCAAATTTAATATTTTAGAGAGAGAAGTATCTCAAAATTTTAGAGAGAGAAACTATATCAATTTTTATATAGAGAAAATATCTAAAAATTTTAGAGAGAAAAACTATCTCAAAAATTTTAGAGAGAAAATATTTTTAAGTTTTTGAAAGAGAAAGTTTATTAAAATTTTAGAG